ATTGGTGATCAAAAAAATTTACTTCTGAATCTCAAGGAAAAAAGAATGTGTTGCAAATCTTTTAAAGAGGCGACCGTGACCGAGAAGATCCTATATAACAAAGACACACACCTTGTCTCCTTTTTCTCCTGGATCACCGGGCGGGCCGACCTACACAAAGGAAATCATTTCGAAAATTGTTAAAACATTTATCAAGAAAACTTCGAGATAAGAATGTCTCGAAGCATTCACAATGGTAACTGAACTGATTGGAGTGTAATTTGGTCTGAAATCACACTCCCTCAAAAAAAAAAAAAAAAAAAAGTCACCAGTAGCGAAATTCATACTTTATCTGAATTTCCCAACAACTCGAGATCACTTACTCGTCGTGGTGGGAGAATCTGTTGTTGCTGAGGGACAGGAGGGGCAGGAGTCACCAGAGGAGTCGTTGTCGGCAGCGAAGTCGTTGACACTGTTTGTTCATGATAAAGATAAAATTCTTAAATCGACTGTGTCTGGTCTAACGTGGCCTAACTTAGATTTACTTGACTTATTGCATTCCTCTCTACGAACAGTCACCTTTACTCTTTGACTACTAAGACTGACCAGCATCTAATTTCTCCTCAAATGACACCCCTAGTCAGACATTAAGTTCACAAGAGTAAAAGATAGGATCACCTTATCAGCACCTTAGAAAATGTAAGAAAAACAGTATCGAGAATGTGCATACTGATGTTAGGGTGATTTCACGCCAGGCTTCCAAATAATAAGATCGCTGAGTGACATCAGCCCGATTTTAGATTCCTAAGGGAATATCAAAACTTACAAGGGCAAAGAGTTTCACTGACTTCCTTCACTTTGGAATCTAGCTGAGAGAAATCGTCCACTTGAAGTACTTCTTGGGCGTTTGAAGCATAATTCCACGGCTCTATAACATCGACTTGGCCAATACCCAATACAATGACGTAGACGCCCCTGTCCTTTAACTCTGTTGACGCGTCAATGGGACCAACCTCATCTGGCGAAGTTATTGCGGTTTGTTTTCCATTTGTGATGAGAAGTACCACCTGAAGAGGCAAGATACATATAGTTGTATTTCCATGTTTGGCCGATTTTAAAAAGCAACTTTCTGAACTCGAGCCAACTGGCCCATCCAGCTTGAGCATATCCCAGTTTCCTTAGCATGAAGCGACCAGGAGTATAACTACCCCCCTGTCCCCTTCCCTGGGTGGGATACATCACAAGGTAACCTCCCAGCATTCATCAGGCTTCCCTGACAATTCGCCGGTACCCAGTTATACTCCTGGGTAGAGAGAGGCACTGTGAAATTAAAGTGACTTGCCCAAGAACACAGCACAATGACACAGCCAGGTCTCGAACCAGGACCTCTCGACCCAGACTCGACCCAGAGCTCAGTGCACTCTGCGTCTCCATAACATGTTTAGGATGGGGCACCAAAGACCCTCCTCCCCCTCCCCTCCCCCCCTTTACTATCTATCACATGAAAAGTCTTCAAAATATTCAAATAACAAATTCAAATACGAACATTCTAGCTTAGGGGATTATATTTGAATTCTTCACAGTTCCTGGCTATTGCCGTGACAAAAAACCTAATAAAAGTTCGCAGCAACCTACCTTTTTAACATCCGGCCTCATTCCAAATTCTTCCTGGAAGACTTGTTCATTAACTTCACGAAGTCCTCTGTTGATGAACCTAGATGCGCCAGAGGGCGGCTTTCCTATCGACGTAATCTTTCCAAAGACGTTATCTTCTTTGAAAGTTGCAGGATCAAACTCTTCAAAATCGAGAACTTTTTCACCTTGGTCTCCAAATTTGACCAAAGCAATGTGGGAGCCTTCAGGACCGACGTTGATGTTCTTTGACACATCGACAACGAATTTGAGCAGAGTGCCCCAGTCGTCACCAACACTTCCTGAGGCATCTGCCACAAAAGCCAAGTCAATTTTACAGTTCGGGTCCTCTGTGGAAATTTGAAGGAAAAAGAGAACGTTATATGGTTTGCATCGCCAGTGTTTTACTGGAGAGCATTAGTTTGGTAAGGTCGAGGAAAGCCTGGAGCTTAGAGGCGGAAGAATTCGCAAAGAAGCATACTTTTTCATGCAAAAGCACCTCGAGGTATGTCTCGATCATAACGATCCCCCGTGATGACATCAAAACCTGATCGGAATCCTGAGCACTCGCTCGCCAGAAAAAAAAAATCTATCAAAGCCGTCACAGTTGATCCTTTATTTATTCTTGTTTTTCCAAATGTTTCGCGTACTTTTCCCCAGGTTTTCCAGTCTTCCACCCCTTTACAAAAATTAACCATCCAAATCGCAATTTACTTGGAACAGCGGACGAAAATGCCCCCTTCTCTAATATCTTGTGCTAAATATGATTCAATACTTAATTGTTCGTCTTTTCCCCTTGCATTCGATTTCCGACAGGTCTAGTTTACGATTTTGGATTGAAATGTTCTTAACTAGAACGTTTGTCAATTGATTTTTGTTTATTGTGAGCGTCTAAGCAGTAAGCCGAGTCAAAGTGCTCTTTTCTGGGATGTCCCGTAACAATTGCGTGACATTTTAACGAAAGTCAAAGCTGTTAGAAAATGCGTGACCATTTCGAAACATGTCATGTTGTCACTGAGTATAGAAACAGATTTACAGGAAAGTCCTTAGTTTCGTTCAAGAACGTGAATGCTGCTTTGAAGTGGAGACGAACAACTGCTATTCTTTCCGTGCTTTATAAAATAATACAATTTCCCCGCTTCGTTGTTTCAACTCCCTCAGAGTCAGATGAAAGGAGCTTTGTGAAAAGAAAGCAACTGTTTAAAGGCAAGAGCGTTCAAGATCCATTGGGCTAATGTAAAATAAAAATAGAAAACAATATAAGCGTTTCAAAGACAAGGAAAGGGTATGTTTGAAAACTGTGAATTAAGCTACAGGAAGTGGTCTCAGATCGAACAATTTTTCCTTGAGATTTCATGACATTAAACCGCAGAAATTATTTCGTGTAATATTAGGTATCAGATGTGATCAAACGATTTCATTGCTACGTGTTCAGTAAACCAATGGATTTTCTTCCAATAATCGCGATGAAACCATCAAATCGTTCGACGCGAAACAGGGACAACAAGTCATAATACTTTTATGATCACGCAACGATCACTGCTAATGATAATAAACAAAACCAGGCACTGTGTTCTATGCTGAATGTACTCACGCGCTGGAATCCTCGTCCCTTGCAACAAAAGAAAAAGAACAACACTCCAAATTAAGTTCGTCTGCATGTTGATGAGTGTTAACTCAACTTGGAAGGGAAGCTATGATAAAGCCAGATCTTACAGATCACTCGAAAGGCCAGCCATTTTGCGAGGATCTGAAGCACGCATGGAGGCTTCAGATAACGTCAATAGGTCTTTGTGGAAAGGAAGTCATGTAACTCGAAACCGTCTACTCACAACAGACACATTCTTTATTCATTCATTATCAGCGATCCATTCAACACTCAATCGTGATATTTACACTGTGGGTCTTTAGCTTTTGAACTAAGCTCTCCGTTCTTACTTATAAAAACAGATTGATGAGACAGTGAAATTTAATCTATTGGACATGGATCCAAGAAAATCAAATCTTCGAAAGGATTGTTTCAATGCCCTTCTAAGGTTTAAATTTCTGTAGTCACAACAAGAAGCTGACACATACATCAAGTATTTTTGAAAACACTTCTTCTTTGATGTCCCTCTAGTGATTTCCCTAAAATTTCATTAATTCAGCCATATGAAGCTTCATTTCTCTTCACCTAAATTTTTCCCACCGATATTTGTGGTTGGTTAACTACAACACGAGCAAAGAAATTATGAACACCATGACGTGACCAAGGTATCGGGTCACCGCTGACCTTCTATGACATCATGGGGAGCAGGAGGTAGATTCATTTTCTCATTGAGGTCTTTTTGGTTTTTTTTTTGTTTTTTTTTTTCCATCTGATTTTTTACTTAAACATTCTTTATTCATTTTAGCTTTTTCTTTAATTTGTGGGTTAATCACGAGAAAGATGTACTGACAACAATCAAATTCTCAAATCAGAAAATATTAATTGGTCTTCGTGTAGAAACTTCTCGAAAAATGATTTCATACATCGAACAACATTCTTCCTTGAGAAGACAAAGAACTCTGGAAAACAGATTAGGCAAGTTTTCGAACGGGCACGCAGACGCTGCAAAAAAATTCACGGTTTAAAAAGAGAGAATTATTTGACATTCAGATCAGCCGAGCAAATTCAGAAATGAAAGTAAACTGAGGAAGACATTATATTGCACATTAAAGGGTAGAAATACACGACAACATCACTTAAATCATAAAATTGTAATATTCTTTGGGTATATTGGCTCATCTCCAATGGATCCATTTTCTACCAATTGGATAAGTTAAAGATTTCTGCAGAGATAAGAAGAACGAGAGGCAAACTCAAAATGTAGACTGTATTTCTGACCCAAAAGAAAAAGCTATCAAATTTTCTTCTTGATTTCGATCGGCTCGGTTTGAAAATGAACGAAAGATGGACAACTTATTGTCTGAGTAAAGCATGTAAAGTCTGGGTGAATCATGTAAATTCTGGCCACAAGGGAAATTTAATTGCTGTAAAAATTTAACTATTACCACATTCTACGTCAATTCGTTAGATAAATAATTTATTTCACGAGGCTTGCGCGGTGATAATTTTTTTTTTTGAAGTCTGATAATTCCATCATTTTTGCATGGAGCAATTGCATTCAAGCTATATCGAAACAGCGGGAGAAACTAGTTCGCTTCTCAGAAGAATTTTCCGTTTGATTTCATCTAAGGATTTCACCAGCATTAATTAATCGGTTTGAAGTTCTAGTGAAGTAATATTTACCGAATGGATTCACATAAAACGGAGTCAAGTTGTTCATTATCAACTGAAATGGAACGTAAATCATCAGCCGAAGAACCAGTTTGTGACGAAGGAGTACAATTAGAACGTTTTGACTCAGTGGATAGTTTTCGCACAAGAGCATCGACAGAAAGCCGGACTGTATCAATGGCTTCCACTGAAAGCTACGAAACAGTAAGGTTTTTTTTGTTTGTTTTGGTTAGAAATCACCTGCCAGCTTTTATATCTTGAGTGTATTTAATAACTCATCACATTTTGGTTTCTGTTGTCTAAACTGAGCTTATCGTAGATGGAGCGTAAGATTTTAAAATGCCGCTTTCCAGTGCGGTAGAAGCGAAGTCTAATGGCCTCTCGAAAAAATTTTTTTTCAAAGCATAAGCAAACTGAGAAGCCATAATTGCAAAAGAACTATTATCGCATTGAATTTTATTATTAAGATAAACTACGAGGCTATTTTAAGTCAAAGTTCCACAATCAGTACTTTTTTAGGTTAATTAACACCGTTATCTAACAGTCCAAAGGCTGTTGATTAACAGCAAAAAGTACTGACCGAGTAATGATCTATTTACCTCATAATTTTCCACCGGGTATAAACACTCTAAAAATAAAAATAAAAAATATGAGAAGCTGTGATTTCTAAACAACATGCATAAGTCGGCCTTTACGAGGGGCTTTGCGACATTTGGCTGAAAGCTTAGTCTTCCCTAAAGCACTTGCTTGGTGGGGGGAATAATAAGGTATCAGTGTATTTCTGGAACCGTTTGTCTTTTTCTCTCCTTTTTTACCTTTTGTCAGGCTTCCTCATCTTTCCCAAGCTGGGATAGAAACAGCTGCCAAGGGAACAGAAGATCCTGTTTATTGGGATGGATAAATTCGCTGGAGGAAACTACCAGACGAACACTTTTCATTCATCATCTGCCAGTAGAAATATGCGATCCCGTCAAAGACATGTCGTTGTTTAGTTGTGAAGCGGAGTTTTGTCGTATTTGTCATTGCGGTAAAGAGGATGAAGAGTTAATTGCACCATGCAGATGCTCTGGAAGTGCTAAGTTTGCGCATCAAAGTTGCTTGCTGTCTTGGTTTGAACTGAAAAAGGACAAGACATGCGAACTGTGCCTTTACGAAATTTCTGTCAAAAAGATGGGCTTCAAACCATTCTCACAGGTATTGAAAGCAATATTCAAAGCTTCTTTTCATCGTGGCTATTAACTAAAAGTTTGTGAACGTTTCTCAGCTATTTGTTGCTTTTTTTGCTAACAGTTAGAGACAACCATTTGTTTGTTTGTTTGTTTGTTTGTGTCTCACACTGAATTGTTGGCCTAGGTTCTTTAAAATGATATTTTTTCAATCAATTTTTAACTTACTACTGATATAAATTAGGGCGAATGAAAAGGGGAAGTGGAAAAAAGTATATTAAAAGCATTTTTACACACTATGTCGATCTGTTTGTCTGGCTATCAGTCTATCTGTCTGTCTGACCGTCTGTACAGTATTCAATTGTCTGTCTGTCTGTCTGTCTGCCGTCTCCTTATCCAGTACAGTTGTATCATGTTACTGACTCCTTCGTAAATTTGTCTAACTGGCTGTCTGTTGCCCTTCAGTCTAACTGTCTATCAGTCTGTCCACCCATCTGTCTATCTACCCATCTGTCTGCGTATTTGTCTTACTGTCAGTAAAGTGAAGATCCCTGTGGAATTTTTTTATTATCATTATAAAATCTGTATTATGCATTTTTCACTCTGGTAACCCGTCTAATTGCTTGTTTGTCTGTCTAACAGTCTGTCTGTTGCCTGTCTGCCGGTCTAGTTTAACATTTCACTCCTTTACGATTTTCAATTCACGTTCTCTTTGATTTTTCACCCTTAAGTGGAGACTACCATGGCGTTCGTGCGACATTGTGGCGTACCTTTTCTTGTTCTACTGTCTGGTTCTGGTAGTATTTATAGCCATGGTACTGTGGATCGCCTCTAAGCGTTGCCTCTCTCCCATTTGCATTGTTTTGTACTTCGCGTGCGGTTTGGCAGTGTGTTATTTCACCTACTGCTGCGGTTGCATAGAACATATTCGCTTCTACTGGAAAGCATGGATCGACGTGAACCGTCAGTGGCTCATATTAACTCACAAAGACAGTGTACAGGTTCTCAATAATGCTACAGAAAAGAAGAGCAACAACGGATGTGGCAAAGCAAGGGAGGAATTTGTCTAGGTGCTTTGAAACTGCCGCTATGTAATTATAACAACAGACCAATATCGAAAGGAAATATAAGGAAAGAAACAAGGAGAGAATAACATACTCATCTTTATAAAAACAAAAAATACTATGTAGGAGACGTGGTAGTCTGATGGTAAGTGCGTAGGGCTTCGGGTCAAGAGGGCTGGGTTCGGAGCCTAGCCGAGTCATTGCGTTAAATCAGTTTTATTAGTATAGATGCACTCATATAGCGAGCCTGGGCTTCTTGTGAACAACCCTGTGGGCCTTCATATTCCTACATGACGCAGGTGTTAAACCTCGTGCTGAAATATGGCATTCTCAAGTATTCAACGTAAATTACTTATTAAACAACAGTACAAAAGTGGAGAGCTGAACTATACAATAAATGAACTGTTTGTAAAGAAAAAAGTTTGTTTGGTTTTTAATATTGTTCATGCGATTTGCTAACGGGCAATATACGTAATACTGAGGATTGTTGTTTGCCATAGACAGCA